TTTGTCAAATGAACTTAAATGACACATGGATTGATCCTTATAGAGTAACCAACTTCATATTGTCCTTAGTGCTGATCGAATTCTTTGTATCATTTTGCAATTTTTTCACCATCCTAAGGGGATCATCATTCTGGTCCAGTCCTACAGATCAATAGTAGTCCGAATAGTCCATTATTAACTTGTCTGACTAAAGTGCTAGGTGAAGTGGTTTTGATTCTCTGGATGAAGTTAGTTCGCTTGAGGTTGCGAGTGTGAATAAGCATGAAACCCACGTATAGCAGAGCTTTTCAACCATTACCTCCAACCAACTAACAGAGATTAAGGTAGTATTTATCACGGACTGACATTAGTTGGAGGAATATTGCAAACCTAGGAGCAATCGACAGCTGTTTTGTCACAGTATGAGACTCCTCAGTAGTGGGTAGCCATGACTCCACACCATCAAGGATCGAATCGAGGGCCTTCAGGTTACGTGGCCACCATGTTACCATTGAGCCACTGTGGTCGATCTCAAGGGTCTATATTTCCTACTTCTGCCAGTTCACGATATAGCGCAACCTACATCCAATATTGTCGTTGAGTAACTACTGTCATATTCGACTCGGATGTATCCACTGGTCAAGATTTCTGATTAGAACTTCAGAAACCACCAACTTGAAATCAAGTAGTCCCCACAAATCCTGAAATTGAATTAATCTATTGCTTATTAATGACTTGCTTCGAGAGATGATTCCTGAAGTTCCATTAAGAGGTCGTGACCGGCGAACTAACCAAATGGAACATGAGGATGGTTAGTGAATGATGACATTGGATGAAGGTAGCACTATATCGTGAACTGACAGAAGCTGGAAATATGGACTACTGGATTCCGACCCAGTGGCTTAATGATAAAGTGCTGACCACATAACCTGAGGGTCTTGGTTTTGAGCCCTAGTGGTGTGAGGTCGTTGGTGTGCACTGCTTAGGATTCCCATGTCAAGACGAAACGGCTGTCCAGTGCTTTCAGTGGTTATCTAAATGATGTCAGTCCGTTATAAATGACACTTTAGATTTTAGTAATTCTCCGTGATTACCTAATTTCATGATCTTCAAGTGTACTGATGATTATTTGAACTTTGTCTTTAGATCAGAAAAATGTAACAAAATATAATGAATGCGTCGTATTCTGTAAATCTATTCATTCTTGTTCTACTCAATTCAGTTTTTTTGTTTTGCAACAGTGAAATGTGACCCGTGTGTTTAGATGATGAATGCATAAAAGAGGGAGAGAAATTTCAAAAATTTATCTTTGAATAAAGATGGATAATAGCCAGTAGTGGAATCCATGATGCGCATTTCATCCTATTTGGGACTCGTCAACTGGATGTACCTGCTTCCCAATGAGTGTTGTTATTCTCACCGGGATTTTGACTCGGAAGCGATTGCTTCAAATACCACAACATTATCTATTACACCAGTGAGCCACGATAGCCAATTCTTGTGTGGCGGTTATAGTCTCAGTATAATTGCTTCTATTATACCGTTGTTGATTGGATCGAATTGCTTGGTCTTTATTGGCATATAGGATCCTGCGCGGATGCCTCAATATTACCTGTGTTCTAGTTATAGCAATGATGGATAGTAGTTGAGCACAAATCAATCGATTCGATCCAATCAACAATGGTATAATACAAGCAATTATACTGAGACTGTAACCGTCACACAAGATTTGGCTATCGTGGCTCACTGGTGTAGTAGATAACGTTGTGGTGCTTGAAGCAATCGCTCCCGAGTCAGAATCCAGGTGGGAACAACATCACTCACTGGAAAATAGGTACATCCAGCTGACAAGTCCCAAATTGGATGAAATGTGCATCATGGATTCCACTGCTAGCCATTATCAATCATTACTATAATTAGAACATAATCAGTATCGAGACATTCTCACAGGAGCCCATATGCCAATACAGACCGATCAATTCAGTCCAATCTACATCGGTATAATACAAGCAATTATACCAATTAGACCAACAGTCAATGTTATACCAATCTTAACTGATTTAGTAGCGTTAAAGAGTTGTAAAATACGAAATCTGATTTATATTTGATTAGTCTAAAATTGATACATTCTACTTTTTGCATTTTATTTTGACGATAAGTTAATATTTTTAAAAAGAAATCGCAAAACTGTACCACTTTTTATAAGTGGTTGAATGCAGACAAACAGTAATAATGAAATAAAATGTGGGTTTCAACACACTTTGAATTAACGGCCTTCAAACTACTAACATGACTCTCTATAGAATGAACTTACAGCTATTGTTGATCATAAACATTTATTGAAGAATAAAGGACACTAAATTATCAATCAGTAGTGACTTCTGAGGGTTTGAATAAAATATCAACCATAATGAATAAGTGAACTTTGTAAGTAACCTCCTAATAGAAAAAATCAACGTAGAATTTCGGACAAAAGTGCATCGGATCAAGATACCATACCTCAAAGAAGTATTCAAAGAACAGCTGGATAAGATAATAGTGATATCAGAAGTAATCAAAGCTAGGTGACAGAATAAACAATCTTAAGATAGAGTTAAGTGCGAATGTTCAAGCCTTAGAAGGGGACAAGAGTAAAGAATGGTGGTCAATTAAATCTTCATCTCAACTTCATTGACTTTGAAACAACCTTCAATGGTGTCGATCGAGAAGTAATTTCAAAGGAAGCTGCTTAAATACTACGCCTTCACTGACACAATCATTTATCAACAACCTCATTCAACACCTATATGACGACGCCACACACCAAGTGATTCAAAACACAATGGAAAGCTCAGTGATGCCTTCGAAGTGAAGACACGAAGGAGTAGGACAATGTTGTCGACCACTATCATCGATCATCTTCCTGCTGTGATCGACTGGAATGGACTGGACTGGACTGGAGTGGAGTGGAGTGGATCAGGCAACAGACAAATGTGAGGAGTGAGAAGATGATGATACGCTGGTTGGAATGATGAAAACAGCCCACACGATTTGGATTTCACCACCGATGATGATGATGATTTTTGTCTAATAACTAGTGCCGCACAAACTCGAAGATGTATAGGCGAAAACCATCAAGTTGGCAGAATAGGTGAGGTAGGGCAGCGAAGGGAGATGGGAATTCCTTCAGGTGAACGTGGAGAAGACAGAGGTGATGAAGATACTCAACCGACAACAACAACAGCAACAACAACATCAACAAGCACCAGTCACCATGAAGAGGAGAAATCTGAACGAAGTTGCCTCTTTCACCTACCCACCTACCACCCCACCCCACCCCACCCCACTCCACACCTACCTGCCTATCCACCTGCCTACCCAGACAACATCGTTTCAACCACAGGTAACACAGCCACACATGACGATGTGAAAGCCAGCCGGGATCGGAGAGACAGCAAGACAGTTAGGCATTCCTTCATTGATCTGAAATAATCAGTGTGCAGATCTACTTCAATGCACTGCACTGCACTGCACTGAAGTGCACTGCACTCGGCATAAAGTGTGAACAGCATCCGGCACTAATGTCAGCACTAATATCAGTCAAGTCAAGTCAAGTGAGTCAGTGATTGTATGTGGTGGTTGAGAGGGAGAGAGAGAGAGAGAGAGAGAGAGAGACTTGGCACCTCACGAAATGCATTCCCAACAAACTGTACACACACATCATCCATGAACAGCTGTCACCTATGCCTACACTCACTGGATAGTTGAGATGGAGATGAGATGAATGGTGAGAGTAGTAAGAATGAGTAAGGCTGAACTGTGGCTGGCTGGCTGGATGGATGGCTGGATGGCTGGATGGCTACGAACCAACTAATGAAGCAAGAACCCATTGCCCAACAACCATGCAGAAGGAGGAATTGGAGATGGATCAGACCAGATCAGATCAGATTGTATTGGATTGAACTGGATTGGATTGGACATACACTGAGAAGATCAGTTGGGGAGATCAGGCGTCAGTCCAGGTCTTCGATTGGAATTCAAATGGGAAATGATGAGTTTGTTGTTGGAGTGTGACATGGAGGAGATTGTGTGAGGATTGAATGGAAGTTTATGGGTTGTTGTGGATTTAGGTTGAGAGACTGGAGATAAGAGAGTGCTGTGGCGACGTGCTACTGAATCTCTGTGTTCCAGTAGGAACTCGCTGGAGAAATATTAATAATAAATAAAACAGGAAAGTGTCAAGAAATCAATACATCTGCGGCACTTTGACCAATTTTTAGCCATGTCACCAAGTGTCCTCTACCGCTGATTCTTCTTGTCTCCAGAACCCTAACTAATCAGTTTACATCGCTCCATTGAACTCAGACCAGTCGTTAGAGACTTCATCGACTGATGCTACGTCGTGCTTTCACAATCCTGAACCCTTTCTTAATCGAATCCAACATCTCCCAGCATGGTATTTTGAGGCAGGCTATGACTCAGAATTGATAACACATGTCCAAGCCATCTCAGTCGACTAAGGTTCACAACCTCATCAACGGACTTGCCTTTCTTGCCTAGTACCCTACGTCTGACCTCAACATTGCTCATATGGTGATTGCATCGAATATGGGCAATGCTGGGAAGTAACCTGTGGTCCAAACCTTAAAACTACATGATGCATTTTGCTTTTGACGGTCATACCACGCAGCGATATAACAGGATAAGTGGTCGGATATCTTGCCAGCTGGTGATAGAGATGATGCAGGTTGGTAAATGCCAAACGGGCCATCTGTATACGAGCTGAGATTTCCTCAGCAACCATCCGGTTTGAGCTGATGCACCACTTTACTCCCTATCACTAAACTGGAATTACCTATAGTGGGGCATTATCTTACATTTGATAGGTACCAGCGAAACGCATGCCAAACATACTCAAGCATAATTCAGGACTATTTTACGAGTCAATAAAAAGAACATATATAAATTGTATTCTCTATTAGACCATTTTAAAACATTTTGGTGCATATATTGTGTTTCTTTTTTCTATTTGAAAATAAAAGGTTAAAATATGGTTTCAAAATCGGCGGTCAAAATTCAAAAAGTTGATCAATCAAGGTCATGATGTTTCCCTTTTAACAAGTTCATTGGCATGTAAATCAGAAACAAGTGATCTAAATAATCAATCAGAGGTAAGTGAAGAATTTTTTAAGGGATAAATATTGAAAATAAATGCGAAAGAAAAAAAAGAAACAAGACAAGATCCTAACACATGTTTAAATCTGCTAGCAGTTAACAGAGAGGAACATAGGATATACATTTCATTATGTTTCTGGTGCATCTAGTGGATGGACTTGCATTTGAGCTGATGTCTTCACTGAGTTTCAAACTCATAAGCCAATATGCCAAAAAGCTTAATACAGTCAGTCTACTCTAAAAATGTAGAAGATACGACATATTGTTCACAAAACAGGACGTACCATAACCCATTGAGCCATATCCATTCTGTGTTAACTCACTTTAAACACAGATAAATTATCCAGTTTTAATCAGTAGTCTTGTAGAGAGTACACTTTGATATTTGAAGTGATTGGTTGTGGGTTCGAATCTTAGCGGGAACAACATCAATCACTGAGAAGCAGGTACATCAGCTGATGAGTTCCAAATGGGATGAAACACGCGTTCTGGAATGCACTCCTAGCCACTAATCAACATTAACATAAAATTTAATCACTAACTATCATTACCTGCAGGGTTGTTGAAAGCTGAAGAGTGAAGAACATTTTATAGAGCTGGATAACAGCCGTTGTTTTTACAAGACCCAATAAAGTTGGGAGGTGGCCATGGTGATAATTTAATCACTACCTGGATTCCATCTGAAATAAACTAAAAGATATGCATTGTTGCAGAGATTCAAAATAAAATTGAGCAGCTATTTAATCTTATTTGTTTTATCAATAGGCTTCAAGGTGATTACAGCCGAGAGGGAAGTTTAAACTCACATATTCAATTTCTAAATTATTGTTATTACTTGTCCCTTGGGTTCCTAGTGCAACATAGGGATTCAATAGCACGTTACCACATCACACTCTTCTCTCCAGTCTCTCAACCTAAATCCACAACAGCCCCATAAGCTTCCATTCCTTCCTCACACAATCTCCTCCATCTCACACTCCAACAACAAACTCATCATTTCCCATTTGAATTCCAATCGAAGACCTGACCTGACCTGACGCCTGATCTCCCCAATCGATCTTCTCAGTGTATGTCCAATCCAATCCAATCCAATCTGATCTGATCTGATCTGTTCTGATCCATCTCCAATTCCTCCTTCTGGATGGTTGTTGGGCAATGGGTTCTTGCTTCGTTGGTTGGTTCGTTGCCAGTCAGTCAGTCAGTCAGTCAGTCAGTCAGTCAGTCAGTCAGTCAGTCAGTCAGTCAGTCAGTCAGTCAGTCAGTCAGCCAACCACCAAGCCATCCACCCAGCAAGCCACAATTCAGCCTTACTCATTCCTACTACTCTCACCATTCATCTCATCTCCATCTCAACTATCCAGTGAGTGTAGGCATAGGTGACAGCTGTTCATGGATGATGTGTGTGTACAGTTTGTTGGGAATGCATTTCGTGAGGTGCCAAGTCTCTCTCTCTCTCTCTCTCTCTCTCCCTCTCAACCACCACATACAATCACTGACTCACTTGACTTGACTTGACTGATATTAGTGCTGACATTAGTGCCGGATGCTGTTCACACTTTATGCCGAGTGCAGTGCACTTCAGTGCAGTGCAGTGCAGTGCATTGAAGTAGATCTGCACACTGATTATTTCAGATTAATGAAGGAATGCCTAACTGTCTTGCTGTCTTTCTGATCTTGGTTGGTTATCACATCGTGATGTGTGGCTGTGTCGTCTGCGGTTGAAACGATGCTCTCTGGGTAGGTCGGTTGATAGGTGGAAGAGACAACCTCGTTTAGATTTCTTCCCTACATGCTGATAGGTGCTTGTTGTTGTTGGTTAGGTATGTCCAGCTGCTGTCTTCTCCACGTTCATTTGAAGTCATGTCTTCTCTGCGTCTTCTGTCAAGTCATTTATTGATAATTCAAGATCATCATATAGAGTAACATTTCTTCTTGTTTAACCTATGTTCTAATTTCTTTTAGTACCCATGTCTGTTTTGATTTCAGCTACCGATTCGTCAGTCGTTTCGTTGCTTAACACACTCTCATGAGTAGAGATAAATAGTAGGATAGTTGAAGTCCAAGGATAACATAAGTGTCAGTCTGATTCAAAACATAAGCTTCAGCAAGATGGTGTTATGAGAGAGAAAGAACTGTTCGGTAATACCATAAGAATGCAGTAACTCATCATGTCTTATAGTGAACTTGAATACAACCGTACAAAAACTGTTGGAAACTCATTAGCTAATTGCTGAACTGTGTAGATCATTAGTTGGCCACTGACTACTTGATAAGTGGCTCATATTTATATTATCCGGAGTTTTTACACATTGGTTTACAGAGTTTAACTTTCAACTATTTCCGGTTCCGTCCATCAAGGTGTGAGCAGCCCTCACATACCAGGTGTTACTCACTGCCCAGTGTACAAATGTGAAGAAAAGTTGCTGACAGGATTTCAATGGCAGTTTATACAATTATAGGTCACTTGACTAGCAGTTCGGCTTTTTAATATTCACTCAGTTCGAATTCATGTATGCTGGACGTTCAGTTATAGCGAATGTAGAGAAGACAGAGGTGATGAAGATTCTCAATTAACAACAGCACCAACAACAAGCACTAATCACCATTAACAAGAGAAACCTTAAGGAAGTTGTCTCTTTTACCTACCTGTCTGAACAGCATCGTTTCAACTACAGGTGGTGACACAGACGAGGATGTCGAAACCAGGATCGAAAAAAAACCAAGATAGGCCTTCATTAACCTGAAATCAGTGTGGAGATCTACTCCGCTCAGCATAAAGCGTGAACAAGATCAGGATTTTCAACACTAAGTCAGTCAAGTCAGTGCTGCTATATGGTTGAGAAACTTGGCTTTCACGAAAAGTATTTCCAACAAACTACAGACATTCATCAACAGTTGCCTACACTGGCTCGATACTGAAGATCAGATGGCCAGAATAACAAGACTAAGCAATAAGGAACTCTGGCCTGGCGACAAACCAACCAAGAACCTATCACTCAACAAATATGCACTGGAAGGAAGTGGAGATGGATTCGGCATACACTGAGAAGGCCGACTGGCGATATTACGCACCAGGCCAGACCGTCGAGTGGAATTCAAAGAAGAAACGACGAGTTGGGGGGTCCAAGGATAACATGGAGGAGATGATGTGAGGAAGAAATGGGCAGTCATGGCGCCAGGTTCAAAAGACTGCAGAGAACAGAGTGAGATATAGGCGTGCTACTGAATCCCTATGTTCCACTAGAAACCCAAAGGGAAAATAATAATATAATAAGGATGGGTTAGTGAATAAAAATGGTAACTGACTGAATTAGCCTAGTATATAGTTAGTTAACATGACAAACTTTTCAAATATACAACATTAATCATACTGAAAAATATGTTCAACTTTCATCTTTTTTTCCCCCTAGAATTTCTATGAAGATTGTCATGATATGATGTTGATGAAAAATCTACCATGTGAAACAGATTTTGTTAATTCTGATGAATTACCAGTAGATTCATCATCATGTTGTTTTGAGAATAGTAATTCAAACAGTAATTCAAATAGTCCTATAATGACATCAGTAATAAGTTCACCTGAAATAAACTTGAGTAAACATTGTTTCATTAATAAATCAGATTTACAAACAGCTGAATTTAAACAAGATGCAATCAACATTACTTCAAATTGTTATACATGGTCTACAAATATTAAAGATTATCGTATCATTCATCAAGATAATCAAACAAAATTGAATACATTAATTAAAACTAATAATGATAAAGGTACTCAAAATTTTCATTCTACTGATATAAATCAAACGATATTGTTGGATACATTACCAAAATCATGTTATTGGACAAAATATTTGTTTGAATCACCTAATTACTGGTTACCAACAGATACAACTAATCACTTTTCAAATTTCAATCCAAAAGTATATTCCACACCAAGATGTAATGGTGGAGATGATGAAGACCATAATAGTAATAATAATAATGATAGTGAAGGAGAATATGATGATAAAACTAATGCTAAAAATGTTATTCACAATTTATGGAATTTCAATAGATCATCTGATGATCAAAGTTTTACAAATCAAACAATGAATATCAATGATTACAAGAATTCTGGAATGATGTACACAAAATCTTCATCAACAACAACACCACTTGCATATCCATATAATGGATGGAGGAAATATCATTCAGACAACAATACAAATCAACCAATGTACACCATGAATCATAGTCATTTACCTAGGGTATCACAAGAGTTATTCAACTCCACTGTTTACCCTCATTATTCAAACAGTCTATCTCAACCACCACAATCAGTATCTTGGTCCACTTCAGATTCATATTGTTTACAACATCAAGATACTGAAGTAAACACAAAACCTCCTGTTGTTGATGATTTGAACAACATTTTGAATTCTACTTCGAACACTATCTCACTAGGTGGTAGTATATATCAGTGTCCAAATCAACAAGAGCCACAGTTTCCTGACCCATGTGAACAAACAGTTAACCAGTCTATAATCCCTTCAGCATCTCCAACGCATTGTTTGTCTAAATTTGAAACGAAAAATTAATATTTATTTCCTCTTCCAAAAAATAGCCACCTATTATTTAGATTTTTTATAATCAAGTTCTGATACAGATGTCGATCAAATGTTTCTGTGAAGTTAAAGTTATACATTTTAAAGAATAATTCTGCTGGTCGAGTTCATTAACTATAAAACCGAAGCGTAACATGCGAATAAAAATACTGAAATATGAAGTCTTATTCATCACAGTAAACTGTTAATTTATCGTTAATAAAACTCTGTATTGTATTCATCTCTACCTCTAAATGTTTGTAAACAGTAATACAATGATAAAAAAAACAAACGCATAAAACTGATTGAAGCAACTTAATGTATCTAACACGTATAAATTAAAGTGTACATTTAAACAAAAACAGAGTAGAAAACGCATTAAAACATTGAACCGCATAAACTTAACCCTATCAAAGGTGTATATGCTTGTCATTTAATGTGAAATCATTTTTTCTAAATCAAACTGGACAATAATGACTTATGATGAAAAATACCTTGATAACACATTAACACCCTGCAAAGCCCCCCCCCCCCAAATGACAAAAATATTCCAAAAATCTGATTTTCAAGTTTAATTACAGAAAAATTGAAGTTGAACAAAAAAAACTATGAAAATATACATTTTCTATGCTGAACTAAGTCCTTTCAGGAGAATAAAGACATACGCTTCTTTAGATGTCTGATCATTCTTCGTTATTGTGTTTAGTTTTGGGAACGTTTTAAGATTGATATAAATATTTCAGTGTTATTGCTTGTATTATACCGTCGTTGATTGGACCGAATTGATCGGTCTCTATTGGCATATAGGCTCCTGTGCGGATGCCTCGATTACCTGTGTTCTAGTTTTTGTAATGATGGATAGTGGCTAGCAGTGGAATCCAAGATGTGCATTTCGTCCTATTTGGTACTTGTTAGCTGGATGTACATGCCTCCCAACGAGTGATGTTGCTCCCACCGGAACTCGGACTCGGGAGCGATCTCTTCAAACGCGAGAGCGATATACACTACACCACTAAGAGGCAGGTACATCTAGCTGACGAGTCCCAAATAGGACGAAATGCCCATCCTGGATTCCACTGCTAGCCACTATCCGTCTTTACTATGATATAAATATTGTTGAATTTATATATATAGGACACCAGAGCTAGGTTGCTTCAAAATATAAGTATGATTTTCATTTAGAAGCACAGTCATACATCCAAATAACTTTTGACGGCTTACCTATAAACTCGAACGAAAACCATATTGCCAGTTAACTGGTAACGACCCCAGATGATACATATCCTACAGAGTAAAGTGAAACTAAGTTGTATCACTAATCAAAAGAAATAGCTCAGTATCATTCACCTATCAAAATAATACAAGTCAGTGATAGTAATGACGACTGTTTTGAATCCACTTCTTACTAAGAATGACCCTTAGAGAAGTCTGAATATTTCAGACCATCTAACTATGGTCGGTTATCATGAAAAAACAGTATTCCTTCAAAACTGCCCAATTCATATTTACATCATCATGGATAAGCGACTTTCTAATTATCACCTAAGATGTTAGTAGATTAAGTATTCAAAATATATAGTTCAAATGAATGATAATTTTTTTCGGCATGCTGAAAAAGGCTGTAGAATTTTCAAAGAATTCTCACTCTTTTTTAATACATGATATGATCAACATGCTGTAGTTAATTGAAGTTTCAAACAATCTGTGACTAAATCATCTTACCTGTTAAGGATATTTCAATGTTCATATAAGATTATTCGAAGAATTATACCAAAGAGCAAAACAACCAATCAGATCCTGTTTATCAGTTTGATATCCTATTTAAAGCGATCACCATTGAACGGAAATACATAAATGCAGGACCCTTCAGAAAAAGTGTTTTTTGAGATTGACAAACTTCATAGATAAGCGAAAAATTATAAAATAAACATAAGGGGAACCCTTTCTCATTTAAAGAGTTCACCTAATACATGAAAGTTGACAAGATAATTTATCATACTTCTAACTAATGCTTAACGTATGTTGTTCTCATAGTGGACAATAACTTCTCAAATTCAGTTTCTTCTTTCAAAACATAGGTGGGCAGAAAAGATGCCTTATCGAGAGGTGAACAATTTTTTTTAAAACATTCAGTTCTTCTAAACAACTGCAGAAATTAGGGGATTTCAAAAGTTACCCTAGATACTCTTGAAATAACCAATCAGATTGACGTATTTCGACAAGAAAGGTAGTTCTTCATAAAATTATATTACAGTCATTTGTCTATCGGATTCCTAATGAAACATAGAGAGTCACTAGCACGTTGCCATTTCACTCCACAGTTCTCTACAGTCCTTCAACTTGCCTCCACGACCGCCTACAACCTGCCATTCCTTCCTCACACAATCTCCTCCATGTCACACTCCAACAACAAACTCATCATTTCCCATTTGAATTCTAATCGAAGACCTGGACTGACGCCTGATCTCCCCAATTGATCTTCTCAGTGTATGTCCAATCCAATCCAATCCAATCCAATCTGATCTGATCTGATCTGATCTGATCTGTTCTGATCCATCTCCAATTCCTCCTTCTGGATGGTTGTTGGGCAATGGGTTCCTGCTTCGTTGGTTGGTTCGTTGCCTGCCAGCCAGCCAGCCAGCCAGCCACAGTTCATCCTTACTCATTCTTACTACTCTCACCACTCATCTCATCTCCATCTCAACTATCCAGTGAGTGTAGGCATAGGTGGCAGGTGTTCATGGATGATGTGTGTGTACAGTTTGTTGGGAATGCATTTCATGAGGTGCCAAGTCTCTCTCTCTCTCTCTCTCTCTCCCTCTCTCAACCACCACATACAATCACTGACTCACTTGACTTGACTTGACTGATATTAGTGCTGACATTAGTGCCGGATGCTGTTCAAACTTTGTACTGAGTGTAGTGCTGTGCAGTGCATTGCGTTGCATCGCATTGAAGTAGATCTGCACACTGATTATTTCAGATTAATGACGGAACGCCAGACTGTTTTTGCTGTCTTTCTGATCTTGGTTGGTTATCACATCGTCATGTGTGGCTGTGTCACCTGCAGTTGAAACGGTGCTGTCTCGGTAGGCAGGTAGATAGGTAGGTGGGTGTGGAGTGGGGTGGGGTGGGGTGGTAGGTGGGTAGGTGAAAGAGGCAACTTCGTTTAGATTTTTCCCCTTCATGGTGATTGATGCCTCTTCTTCTTGCTGTTGGTTGGGTACCTTCATCACCTCTGTCTTCTCCATGTTCACCTGAAGTCACATCTTTGATACCTCTTCTGATAACTTGGTGCTCTTCGCCTATACATCTTCGAGTTCGTGCGACATTTGACATAAATCATCATCGGTGGCGAAATCCAAATCGTGTAGGCTCTCTTCATCGTTCCAACCAGCGTGTGCCCATCCTCTCACTCCTCACATTTGTCTGTTGCATGATCCACTCCAGTCTAGTTGACCACAATCAGGAAGATGGTCTATGATAGTGGGTGGCAATCTTGTCTTATTTCTTCCTGTCTTCACTTAGAAGGCATCACTGAGCTTTCTATTGTGACTCACTTTGTATGTAGCATCATTTGGTATAGCATATAGCTGTTGAATGAGGCTATTGATAAAGTTTTGTGTCACGAAAAGCGTGGTGTTGAAGCAAACAGTTTCCATATTATTTCTAGGTTGATGCTACTAAAGTCCTTTTGCAAAATTAATTGGTTACTACATCAACTGTCAGGGTGGTCTTTAAAATCACTCTCAGATTCTCATTTATATCTGTATACCCTTGTGTAGAATAGTCGATACATATAGTTGCATAGGGAATTTATGTTGTCTGTCTAAGCAAACTATGGTATGATGTGAGTCATTATCAATTACTTTACATGCATCACATCAGATGAGAATAAAATTTCTGCATTTTAGTTTAGAAATGCTATTGGATGTTATCTCTAAGAGAATGAAATAACCTAGACCGTTGTATTCTCGGAAATAGTGGATAACTGGTACAAATGAGCATGTACACGATTTATAGGAAGTCACAGCTTTTCACTTCCTCAAGTTTATGATTTACCTGTTTGCATGGTACTTCTAGAAATGACTCATTATAAATGAAAGTAATACAAACAAGATACCTGATATATGCTACGGACTAACATCATGTTGAGAACCTCTTAAAAACTTGAGAGTAATCCATTGGACTACTGAATATACTTCCAGATGGATATCCCTAAGTTCTACTGAGAAACTATGACTTATGCGGTCACCCAGTTGGAAATGAAGTGGATGTCAACTGAAGACTTTAGTAGATAAAGTTGCGCTATATCGTGAATTGACAGAAGTAGGAAACTGTGGACTACTAAACTTTGAATCAGTGGCTATATAGTTAACGTGTTCGCCATGAGGCCTGATTTTTATCCCTGGCGGGATCATATGTACACACTGCCGAGCAGTCCTATACTAGGAAGAGGTTTTCAATGGTTCTCCGACTGATGTCAGTCGTGATGATTTCTACGTAGGAAATAAAATTCTCATAAACCTCAAACTACATATATATTCTCAGAGAATATAGCATTCCACCTTTCAAGATAGACCAGGAATCATCTTAGGTCGTAGTAAAAAATTTAATCAGTATACAGGCGGCTTGCTTAAACCTTAGGTTATCGAAAATTGTACAGTTACACTACAGAATGAATTAACTAACAGTATCAAATAAATTTCAAGTTACTTTTGTGGATGATGAGTTAATTCCAAGTGACCGCTAACCTTTTAACGTTAATATAGGCTGATAACTCTTCTAGTCAACCATTTCATCTGTATTGATGTGTAAAAACCTCACAAATTATATGTATTATACAAATGGTTGAATGGTTGAGATTTCAGTTTGTTTGTGACATATAAAACATGAATCAGGCATTATTTTCAAATGTTAACGATTACGAAACATCTTAAAGCCATAAACATATACTCAGCTCGTAGTATGTAAAGCTTGGTAGTAAGCTATCAGAACTCAGATGGTTACTCGGTAGATCATAACAATTCATATGCACTTAAAGAGGTATCATAAAGTAGTACTGAAAATGCTAGATTCACTCAGGTAATCGATCTCATAGTTCGATATCAATGTAATGTGAATCTGAGCATAGCATATTTTTTCGGAGATGACTTTTAACTACTCATAAGTAGACCAATGGTTTTGCAAAAAATGTTTCAGACAATAGGATTGATATCCTAATTTTTAACGACTCAACAATTTAAGCATCATATCATGCATCAATAAAGATCATTCTTCGATAAAACACATTTATTACAAAACTGCCTCAGTGAAACTGTACAGTTTTTTGGCAAAAACTATAATCAATAATCAAGTTTAATCATTCGGTTTCCGGTCAAAATATGCAATTATCTTCTCCAAGTTATAGTTTTGTATAAGTTTGAGTAGTTCATCTTTATGACAGCTTACATCAACACCTTGAAAACGATATTTATCAACGTATAGATTCAAAATGCAGTCTAAAAATTAAACAAGGGGAAAGATAGATGAGTTTTATTT